GACTGTCAGGGATAGCACCAGGACGAACTTCACCTCTCACTTCTGTATCTATAAAACTCCTTCTGCCATGGAATGAGTGTTAAAAACACACTTGTGCAGGCTCACGTATCAGTTTATTCCAATTTTAGTGTCTCCTTGCTTTAGGAAACATAAGTGTTTCATGCATGTGCACACTAACATAGAATCAAAATATCCTCAGCTGGAATGGACACACAAGGGTCACCAAAGTCCATGCACATGGCCTTAGTCCCTTTAAAAATTAATTAACTCTCTTCATTAAGAGAAAAAAACTCATCCCCAAACTTCTGTGGAAGGTGCTGTAACAACAAAGGCAGTCCAAAGAACCAGAAAAAATCAAAATGTGTATGGAAAACATATGGTAAATGAGAAATACAATATCAAATCATAAATAAATAAAAAATAAAAAGTAAATCATAAATAAAATAAAAAAGCAAGCAATAAATGCATCTACAAGGCAGAGTCACATGCCAAGGGCAGGAAATTCCCAAAGCACTCAATTGGAAATTTTCTATATATGCACAAAAATATGGGTCTCAGTGAAGATGAAATTTCAAACAGATTTCTTTAATCAGTGCAAAATTTTGTGTGGAAACTGTTACTTTGTTTCAGAAACCTCCCGAGTGCTCAGGAAGCAGTTTAACCTAAATAAAAAATAAAGGTATTTTTACCCACGGGGTTGGAACTGGATCCGTTTTAAGGTCTTATCCAACCCAAACCACTCTGGGATTCCATGACTCAAATGAAGAGGCAAAAACACAAAATGCGCTGAGTAACTCTTTTCTTGCACATGGCTTAATTGGGGTTTGAACAATAACAGGTGTTTCTGTACTGACTTTGCCTAAAAGTGCTCCGTTTTGGGGGTTATTTGAGTTGGAAGACAGACCTTGCCCTGAGACATTAAGAAAAGCAGAGCTGTAGCATCTTCTGCTTTGTGACAAATCAAAGGCTCCACTTTTGAAGAGAAGCCTGCAGGGATGTGAGCAGTGAAGCCATAAGTAAATAAATCAATCAATAAATCCCTCCATTCCTAACTGCCCCTGAGGCACTGCCCAATTCCCTCTCACCTGCCACTGTGCATTTTCTGACCACTGAGAAATCCCTCAAAACACAACCCCCAAATCCCTTTTTATCACATGGAGAATGTTCCCACCTGTGTTGTCTCCTGGCTTTTGGCGGAGCAGCTGCTTCTGGCAACCAGGCTTAGGCAGCCCCTGGAAGCTTTTGAGAGGCCAGGAACTGGAGAGGCTCCTGGGATCCTCCTGGGACTTCCCTGCAGGGGCAGCAGGAGCTGAGAGGTGCTTGGGGCTGTTCCTGGGGGATGACAGGGGGAAGGAGGGCAGGATGAAGGTGCCCTGGCTGGCACTGGGACTTTGGAAGGACATGGTGGGCTCTGCCTGAGTGCAAAAACTTCTCTGGGTCTTGCTGGAAAAACTGAGGCTGGAACAAACTGAGCAAAGGAAAACAAAAGAGCGCTTGTGGGTCTTGTAATAAGAATTTATCATGAAATAATACACCATAATAATGATTTCCAATGAACTAATGCACCATGAAAATAATTTCCAATGAAATCATCCATCATAAGAATAATTTCCCATGAAATAATGCACCACTAGGCAATCAAAGCCTGAAGGTTTTGCCCAAGCAAGCAGACAAATCAACCAACTTCGTTCTGCAAATTGCATTCCCCTCCAAATGTGAGTTTAAGTCTTGAATCGATTTCCCATGCATGTTTTGGAGAGCTACAGACAAAAAACAGAGTGATGCAAGTAGATCAAACACTGCTGTGACCCTCCCACAGAGAAGCAGCAGCTTCTCTCTAACAGGCTGCCACAAGAGATCAAAGGTGGGGCTGTGAATTAACAACCACTAATGAAGTCTCACAGGAAGGAGGGGCCATAACAGTTTCTATTTCTTAGGGAAGCAAAGGAACAAAGAGACAACTCCAAAGTGATGTTAAGCCGCTGGCAGAAGCCACGTACCTTTGTCCTGCTGACAGTTACTCAGTCCCAAAAACTGCAGATCAGAGCCCACACTGCCACTCTTCCCACGTGCCTGTGGGTATCCAAGTGTCCCACATTTCCCTGAAATCTGGGGCTGCTGAGAGCCCAGAGCACCTTCCAAAAGAGAACACAAAGAACCAAATCAGTACTTCACACATGGTGTCCAACAGAGAATATCCAACAATATTTTCTATGGAATGCAGACTCTGTGTAGCTGAGTGTGAAACTCAGTACACTCCAAGTACTTCATTGCAGAGTCTCTAAGCAACCTCAGAAAGCAGCTCAGAGGAAGAAGGGAAAAGGACTGGCTGCTCTTCCAGGGCACTGCTCCAGCTGGGAATTGCATGGGGGCAAAAGAAGCCCAGGAACAATCCCCTCTTTGAGTATGTGACAATGAAGGGCAGCAAACACCTCCAAACCCAACCACGGCGAGGGAGCAGACTTGGCAAGGCCAGGACTCCCCAGAGGGGCCAAGGACAGAGCCCAGGGCCGTGGGGACAGTCCCTCAGGTCTGGTCTTGCCCAGGCTGCCCAGATCCTTCTGGCCACTGAAATGTATACGGCAACAAGAGACCAGTCTCTTGGAATCAGTGAAGAGAAGGAAGTCCAGGTTGCAAATGCCCCGTGTCCTCCATGATTTCATTGATCTTCTCTAGGTCATGGAGTAAACTCGAGGAATCAGAAGTCTTCTTGTGAATGACAAAAACTGGGGAATCCTAGGGACTTTTTGTAGGTTTGATGTGGCCTTTTTGTAGTTGTTCACTTACTAATTTTTTGAGAGCATTCAGTTTTTTCTGTTCAAGAGGCCACTGATCTATCCAAATTGGCTGATTGGTTTTCTGTGATAGCATCCGAGTGGCAGGCATTGTTGTGGTTTCCATCAAAAAGCCACTTCTATCTTCACTCCCCATGGGACAACACATCTCTGCCTCATAGAGTGATGGGTTTTCTCTCTACAGATTCCTTTCCCAGACTGAAACACTGAATTCTGCCTTGGCAGCCAGAACGTGCCTGTGCCTGCACTCACCAGCACCAAGGGCAGAGAGCTCCGAGTTCAGCTCCACACGGGGCTGCAACAGAGCCCTGGAAGCTCTGCTCCTGCTGAAAAGCAGCTCCTCACTGCCTGGGCTTCCCTGCGAGGGCTGCAGCCTCGGGGAGTGCAGGAAATCATCAGCCAGCTGTGGGGAAAAGCAAAATAAACTGTGCAAAATGAAGCCCAGCCCTGCTCCTGCAAACTGCACCGTTACAAACACTTCCACACAAGCTTCTCTTCCACACCGACCCAACGTTCAAATGTTTTAAGCATTAGAAAGCATTTTAGCTGTTTTCCTGGTCTTACTAAAATACAGGTTAAAGGTTTTCCCTTTCACACTGAAAGGGGAAAAAGCTCAACAAAATAAACTGGTAGAGAATTGAACTATTTTAAAAATTACATTTCAAAGATTAAACATTGAGCATTTTAATTACGTGCTTTAGACAGGGAAGTGTTTAAATAGACAGGAGAAACCCCAAATCCCAGAATGGAACAGTTTCTTGCAAACCACACACTCCAGTCTAAAACTGTGCCTGGCAACACCAGCAGCTTTTACTGAGAACTGGCTACAGGTAGGGAGAAAATCTCAATAATACCAATATTTAACGAAGAAAAGGTCATGCTTTAAATAGATTCTGATTTAATTAGCAAAATCAGTGATTTAAATAATTCTCAAGCTGTATTTACTCTTTTCTCATTTCTGAGGGACACAGGAGGAAAAGAAGAGCAGGAAAATGCTGAAGTGGTTTATTCCAGGTTATTACAAGTTGGGAAAAAAGATGTGAGACCTTGACATTCCCACTCCTGAAATCACTAAACATCATCCCATTCACAGATCCTTCAGTCCATAAAGAAATATTCCTTGTGCAAATCACCACAGCCTGGTTTCAGCTGGGATAGAGGGAATTTCCTGCTTAGGAGCTGGTGCAGGATAAACTTTCATCCCATTTTTCCACACAGATGAAGCAGCATATGCAGAAGGAGTGAATTCCAACACTGCCATGACTCTACAGCTTTGCTCAGCTGCTCCCATCCCAGCCCCAGGAGTGAAAACTCTGCTTTCTTGTACCCAAATTATAATTACAGCATTGCAAATTCACTAAACACAGGCTTGGTGGTGGGAAATACATCAAACCCAAAGCTGCCAGATGTTTCCCTGGGGCAGATAACAGATCCAAGCAAAGGGATTTCTCCAAAGGGCTCCGATCCCTTCAAATTCCACAAATGATGGGAAATACATGAATCCATCCACCACAGGAATTGGTAACTTGGTTATCAAAGCACAACCCTTGAGAGGGACCCATGGTGGAATCCTGGGATGGTCTGGGTGGAAAAGGACCTTAAATCCCATCCCATCCCATCCCATCCCATCCCATCCCAATCCCAATCCCATCCCCCAGGCTGCTCCAAGCCCCAGTGTCCAAGCTGGACTCACAGCAAACATTCCCTCCCTGTGGAGCTGTGCCACTGGGAGACACCAAAGGTGTTCCTCATCCACCACCAGCAGCATCAGCAATGTTCTCCCAGGAAGAGACCATCACCACACAAAGGCAGAACAATCTCTCCCCAAAATCCTCTCCCAGCTCCAGAAAAACCAGGGCTCAGGTCCCAGAGGGACACCTTTATCCCACACACTGGTCACCGTCTGTGTCCCTCTTGGAAAACAAAGAGTTTTTGCTCCATAAATCAGATTCCCAGGTCATTTGACCACTCCACAAAGCCCAGCTATCACCTTCTCCAGTTATCAGATCAATATGGAAATGAGAAGATTCCACTCGAAGTGAGGGGAGATCCCACAGCTCGCATGAACTTTGTGGAAGGGCTTAAATGTCCAGTGAAATGTTCAAATGTTTTTGTTTCCCCCCAAAAGGAGCCTCTGGCACCAAAAGGTTCCTTCAGCAGCAGAGAAGGGCCTGCAGGGTCTGTGTGTCCCTGGGGTAACTTCCACCCTGCAATATCCAATATTCCAACCTGCCCTTGAACACCTGGACACTGCAGGGATGGAGAGCCCACAGCTCTGCAGAGAGGCTGCCAGACAAACCCCTGAGGTCAGTGTGCCTTATCTACCTTTTATTTTTAGCACACATTAACTTACACATGTTTTACTCACACCTTATCTGATCAGGAAAGTCTAGACGCAGCCTTGGACAACTACCCTGTAACAGGACCCTAAAAATCTGGCAGGGAAACAGCTTTAAACATTAAGCTACTTCCATGCATCCCTTCAGCCACAGAATGACTCCATAAGTTAATTTTTAAGCAAGTTCATTTCAAAGGAATGTCTGAATTAATAATTAATATTTGAGATGTCCAGAAACCAGTCGAGTACCTGAGATTTATGCACAATAAATGCATTTTCTTTAAGGAGGGAGCTAAGGGCAGGCCCAGGGCTAACTGCCCACACAATGCTGACTGCAGCATGGCCCAGGGACAGGAGCCTGACACAGCTCCTGGAATGTCTCCAGCCCAGGGAGCACCAGCCAGGTTTGCATTCCCAGGCTGAAAACACAATTCACCTCCTGCATCCAAGTCAGATCCATGGAATATCCTGAGCTGGACAGACCCCCAGGGATCACCCCAACCCCTGTCCCTGCCCAGATCCCCAAAATCCCACCCTGTCCATCCCTGGCAGCGCTGCCCAAAGGCTCCTGGAGCTCTGGCAGCCTCGGGCTGTGCCCATGCCCTGGGGAGCCTGGGCAGTGCCAGCCCCTCTGGGGAAGAGCCTTTCCTGAAATCCAACCTAAATTCCCCCTGGCTCAGCCCCAGCTGTTCTTTCTGGTCAGCAGCATCACAGGACAGTGTCCCCTGCCCCAGAGAGCTTCAGTCAGATGTGATGAGACAAAGGATCAGGAAGTGAAGAAGGGGCAGCAAAGGTATCAACTACAGCAATCAGGTAAATATTCCACTATTAAACCACCCCAGTCTTTTAAGTTTCCTTTGCAGTAATGGGGGTCTGGCCAACAGGACTCCAATTCATCCTGTGCCCAATCAGGTTCCCACTGCCAGGGGGCAGGGATGGATGGGAGATTGGGAATTGGGGATTCCTGGCTGGGCTGGAATTGCCAGAGCAGCTGTGGCTGCCCCTGGATCCCTGGCAGTGCCCAAGGCCAGGCTGGACACTGGGGCTGGAGCAGCCTGGGACAGTGGGATTGTCCCTGCCATGGCAGGGGTGGCACTGGGTGGGATTTGAGGTCCCTTTCCACCCAAAGCATTCCAGGAATTGGTAATTTATCCAAAGGCACTTTACACACCAACCAAAGAGAACCCATCAGCTCCTTGCTTTCTCTCCCTCTGCAGGGCTGGAAACTCCTCCCACGTTACAGAGATAAACACAACCACATGTACAAGGGGTTCATTCCTTTCAGAAAAGGACCATTTCCAGAGCCCCTCCCTGACTTCCTTGGAGAGGGGCTGTCCTAGGCAGGGAATTTTCCTCCTTTCCAAGCCCCAGCCAGGAGTTGCTGCCTGTGTTGTTTTTTGTTCACAGCTGCAGAAAAACAGCAGCAGCACAGGGCTTTGTCCAACCTCCCAAGAGAACACTGGCACTGTTTTTTGGGCTTTTTTAACAAGCTGTATTAGTTAATACTGAAAAACTGCTCCAAAAAGGAAACCCCTCTTGCTCCAGAGGTGTTTCCTACACATCTTGTTGTTCCAACCCTGCTTGCAGATACCCCAAGGGAACTGATTCACCAGCTCAGGAAGACACAGATGCCTTCAGGAGCCTCAGGAGAGCTACCACAGCCACCAAGGAAAGAGATGAGCACTCAAGTCTAGGCATGAACTTCAAGGTTTGACAGTACAGAAACATAAACTGAGTTTATTTGGTTAAGGACCTGCCCCACAGCCAGGCTGCAGAGGAGCACTCACTGTCCATGACCTCATCCAGCCCAGCAACAAGTTACCAAGCAACTGAGAATTAAAATCCCAGTACGCAAATGTGGCACTGAGGAATCTGCTCTGCACAGCCTCTGATTTCCTGAGGAGCTCTGTTTGCTTCAGCTTCCTCACAGGAGATCAAGTTCTGATAAAACAAATGTGTCCACTTAAAAAAAAAAACCCAAAAAAACCCACAAAAAAAACCCCACCGGAAAAAAATACCACAAAGAGATACACCCCCATGTGTGGTATCCAATACACATCAGAGAACCACTGGCAAAGGAAAAAGAACCTGGACAGTTTTCCACAGGTCCTCCTCTTTTCAGCTGCCGACGTGGTCAGTAAATGATTACACCCAAACTCAGCCAGAATCGTTATTCCAGCCTGACCTACATTTTTCCTGGCTGGATCAGCCCAAGGAGCAAGAGCCACACAGGCACTTGGCAGCCACCAGGTTTATCCCAAAGAGCCCTGGCTCAGCCCCATCCCGCAGCTCTGCCTTCAGAGCCTGAGCTGAAGGAGTTGTTCAGTTTTCCCCCAAACAGGAAACTCTGTGCAGTCAGTCCCACGCCTCCAAACATAAACATACAAATAAAGGCTGTTTTCCCCAGTTTTGTGCTCACCACCTGTCACTGTTGACATGCCAGAGTCATGTCATTGCTGTCAGACCTAAGGAGAGTCTCAGGCAGTCCAGCCAACTTCGAGAAAAGATTAATATATTTTTTCGTAAGCGATAAGTAGTCTGGTCAATTGGGTAGATTGCTTGGTTGAATCTGACGTAACAAATCCCCAAATTTACCTTCCCAGAGCAATCTGAGTGTACAGATCCATGTACAGATCCCGCACATCTCTCACTTAACACGCCCCCGACAACTCTCCATCCTCCCTTTGGAAATGCCTTAAGGACCAAGGCACCCAGGGAGTCCCGTACCTGCTCCACACCCTTCGTGACGGGCATCCTCACCCCCGAGCCGCCTTCGCTGTCCGCAGCCGGCTCGTTCTCCCAGGGCAGCTTGTTTCTGAGCGCTCTGCCGGCGCTCAGGACTCTCCTGGGGCTCGCCCCGCGCCGGGCACCGGCGGGGCCGTGCGGGGCACAGGCGGGGTGCCCGCAGCGGCCGTGCGCGCTCCGGCTCCTGCTGCCCATCAGCAGCCACTCGGTGTCGGCGCCGGGCGGCGGGCAGGTCCCGCGGCAGCGGCCGGAGGAGGGCAAGGGCACGCCGTACTCCACGAGCGCCCGCTCGCCCAGCCGGGGCAGCACCTTCCTGGCCAGCCGCGCCCGCACGGCGCTCGCCACCCCCGCGCCGCCGGCCCGCAGCTCCACCGCGTCCAGGGCGCGGAGCAGCGCGCCCGCGTTGCCGGGGCCCGGGGCCGCGGCCAGCGCGGCGAACGCCTCCATGGCAGCGTGCCGGACCCGGCGCTTGGCGTCCAGCAGCGCCGGCGCCAGCGCGGCCGCCAGCTGGGGCAGGTCCAGCTCGGCGGCGGGGAAGGCGAGCAGCGCGGCGGTGCACGTGTTGAGCAGCTCCTCGCGGAGCCGGGCGCTGCGGTGCCGCAGCAGCCGCTCCTGCAGCAGCAGGCGCAGCACGGCCCGCGGGCCGGCCGCCGCCATCAGCCGCAGCAGCAGCCGCCCGCCGTCCCGCCGCATGGCCGGCTGCGCGTCCCCCAGCGCCCGGGCGGCCGCGCACACCAGCGGGGCCAGCACGGCGGGGACGCGGCGGCCGAGGCGCAGCGCCAGCAGCCGGGTGGCCTCCAGCGCGCCCCGCGCCACCGCGAAGTTGGGGTCGTGCAGCAGCGCGTCCAGCAGCGCGATCAGCCCCAGCAGCGCGGCGGCGGGCGCGGCGCCCAGCGCGGCGGGGCTGCAGCCCTCCAGCGCCCGCCGCAGCTGCTCCACGGCCTGCGCGCGGCCCCGGTAGTCCCGCCGGTCCAGCAGCCGCGCGCGGAGCTCCGGCGGCACCAGCGACAGCTCCGCGCCCGCCGGGGGAGCCGCGTCCTCCTGCGGGCCGGGGGGCTCCGCGTCCTCCTGCGGGCCGGGGGGCTCCGCGTGTTCCTGCGGGCCGGGGGGCTCCGTGTGTTCCTGCGGGCCGGGGGGCTCCGCGTCCTCCTGCGGGCCGGGGGGCTCCGTGCCCGAGCCGTCGTGAACGGGGCCGGGGGCATCCGTGCCCGAGCCGTTCAAAGCGGCGCCGGAGGGCTCCGTGCCCGAGCCGTTCAAAGCGGCGCCGGAGGGCTCCGTGCCCGAGCCGGAGGGCTCCGTGCCGTCCCCAGCGAAGTGCGCGGAGCCGCGGCGCTGCCCGGCGCGGCCCCGCGGAGCGGCGGCTCCGTGCGGCGGCTCCGCCATGGCCCGAGGCCGCGGCCATGGGCGGCCTCAGGCCCCGCCCGGCAACGCCGCCGTCGCCAGGGGGCGCCGCGCGCCGCGGGGCCGACCACGCCGCGGCGAGCGGGGGGTGGCACACGCCTGCCTCCCCTACTTCTCCTCAGGCCGCTGCGGGCGGGACGGGACGGGGCGCGGTGATGGGGCGCGGTGATGGGGCAGCGGAGAGCAGCGGAGAGCAGCGGAGAGCGGCAGAGAGCAGCGTCGCGCGAGCGGCGGGGACGGAGCCGTAACGAAGCCGCGGCGCGCCCCCCGCGCGGTGCGCGGCGTGGTTCCGCCCGGGGCACCGGCGGTGTGGGTGTGTGAGGCGGCGCGGCCGCTGATTGGCGGGGCCGCGCGGCCGGAAGTGACGGACGGGCGGCGGAGCGGCGGAACGAGGCGGCGGCGCGGCCGGGCCGGGCCCGGGGCACCCCGGCACAGGTGGGAGCGGGGGCGGCGGGACCTGTCCGCGCACGGCCGGCACTCGGCCAGGACCTGTCCGGGACCTGCCTCCCGGCGCTGCCGTGTCCCGGGCAGGGTGCGCGGGGAGCCCGCCCGGCGCGGGGAGAGCGGCGGCGCCGCGGGGACCCCGGGCAGGGACCCCGCTGTCAGCCCGGCGAGCTCCGAGCGCCGGCCGCGGCCGGGAGCGGGGCTGGGGCACCGGGCTGGGGCACGGCCGCGGGGACAGCAGCGCTTGCAGGAGCGGGGCAGCTTTGCCGCCCTCCCCCGGTGTCGGGGCCGGGCGGGCGCTCTCCGGGCCAGCCGAGCCGCTCCCCTGCCCAGCCGAGCCGCTCCCCTGCCCGTCCCAAATCCGTCCCTGCTCGGGGCAGAGCAGAGCAGAGCCCGCAGCTCCTCTGCTGCCTCCCAGCACGCCCACTTCCCGTAGCTCGGCTGCTCGCTGCGCCGGTTTCCCTCCTTATTCGCAGTCCCTGCTGCTGTCGGAGAGAAGTTTGAGCCACGGGCTGGAAGGACCCGGCAGCCCGGGGGTGCCCGTTTGGTGTCCCCAGCACGGATCGCTGGGATGCAGTTCCAGGGCTGCTTCGTGTTCCAGCTGCTGGCTTCTTGCTAAATAGTAAAATAAGTAACAGCAAATCCATGGTATGGGCAAACCTTGCCGTGCAGGGGTGTGAGAGGTTCTACCAGGGCGGTACACGAAGGTTTATTGCTGCAGAATACCTTAAATACGGTTATTTACAGGTGTTTTGTCGGGTTTTGCAGCTGAACTGGGAGCATTTCTGTTTCCCTGTGGTGGTGCCTTGTATTGCCTGTTTTTTGTGTGTTCGTATGATCAAATTAGGAGCTGAACACAAGCACAAAAGGGGAATACATTCTTTTAGCTGCTGGACAGCTTTTTTGTATTATTTATTTTATTTTTTTTAATTCTTCCATGTATAATTTGTGCTCCAAAATGGCGATAGGGAAAATATTGTTGTCTCTGATCTTGTCTTTTGCAGATGCACTTAAGTTAGTTTCTTTCAGTCATTTTTTCCAGTGTAGAGTGATAATAGGAGAGCTTATTTATCTCTTCGTGGGTAAGAGGTTTTTCCAGGCCCTTCCCTTCCCTGTCACTGCTATTGTATTCTCTATTTGAACGTTGGCAACCCGTTTGATTATTTCAAATTAAGCACTTTTAAGTGGGCTCACCTGCAAGCAAGGTGTCATTTAAGGAGCTGTGCAAACGATGAACTGATTATTAAGCTAAAAGAAGCGAGATCTGGCAGATCATTTAGCAAATCAAAATTCCCTGGAGAACAATAGGATTCTTTCCCTGTGGCCCAGGATCCTGACACATTCCTACCCTCCACCTCTCAGCAGCACAGTGCTGGGGGCTGAACAAAGAGCTGAAATTAGAGCAGGTGCCTCTAATTAGGGCAGCTACCCAGGGCTCTGGTGTCACGATGTGCACGGGACTTTGGGCAGAGGAGTTGTGTGGAGGAGTGAGGATTCTGCACTCCTGGGGAGCGTGGGCAGCTGCCAGCGCTGGGGAAGTGCTGAGAATTCCAGGGAGCTCACCTGGGGAGCTCTGAGCTCTCCAGAGGCTGAGAAGTCCCCAGCAGGAATTTCCTTCCAGGGAGCTCACCTGGGGAGCTCTGAGCTCTCCAGAGGCTGAGCCATCCCTAGCAGGGATTTCCTGGCACGGTGTGAGGATCTCCCCATTTCCCCTGTGCTCCTCTGTGCATCCACAGCACAGGAATCTGCTCCAGCCCCACTGGCTCCGTGGGGGTGGTTGGCAGAGGGAATGGGAATGGGAAGCTGCTCCTTGCCAAAGCCTGGCCAGAGAAAGGCACAGCAGGACTGGGCTGCTCCCCAGGAATTGAATTGCACGAAAGGAGTTTAAGAACTTTTAAAACTTTGTCTCAAATAAGCCAGTTGTATTCTTTAGTTTTCTGTGTTTGTTTCTATTTCAGCCACTGTTCAGTTCTCTCAAAGCCTTGATGTAGAATCACAGAGTATCCTGAATGGGAAGGGATCCACAGGAATCATCAGTCCAGAATCTGGCCCTGCACAGGCACCCCAACAATCAGATCATTTACTCCAGAACAAAAAAAAATAGTGATGGTTGTGGGTTTTTTAAATTCAGAGTTGAATCTAACATAGACTGTTAATGAACATTTGTAGGTCTTGGATTTCACTTGCATGAAAAAGAGCAGCAGGTAAGGGTTGAAAAGGGAATTGGGAAGTAAGAAACCGTATTAAGTCAAAAGCCGAGATGGAAAAATACCTTTTAAGTGTTGCGTGTGGCACGTCTCAGTTACATAAAGGTGAAGTGACGCCTCCCAAACTGTGTTTGCCCCAGATGGACCCGTCGTCGCCGCCGTTCCTGCTGGCCAAGCTGACCCCCCTGCACTCGGAGCAGCTCCTGCAGGGCCTCAACCTCCTGCGGCAGCACCAGGAGCTGTGCGACGTGGTGCTGCGCGTGGGCGAGGCCAAGATCCACGCGCACAAGGTGGTGCTGGCCAGCATCAGCCCCTACTTCAAGGCCATGTTCACCGGGAACCTGTCGGAGAAGGAGAACGCCGAGGTGGAGTTCCAGTGCGTGGACGAGGCGGCGCTGCAGGCCATCGTGGAGTACGCCTACACCGGCACCGTCTTCATCTCGCAGGACACCGTGGAGTCGCTGCTGCCCGCCGCCAACCTGCTGCAGGTCAAGCTGGTGGTCAAGGAGTGCTGCGCCTTCCTGGAGAGCCAGCTGGACCCCGGCAACTGCATCGGCATCTCGCGCTTCGCCGAGACCTACGGCTGCCACGAGCTCTACCTGGCGGCCAACAAGTTCATCTGCCAGAACTTCGAGGACGTGTGCCAGACCGAGGAGTTCTTCGAGCTGACGCACTCGGAGCTGGACGAGATCGTGTCCAGCGACTGCCTGAACGTGGTGACGGAGGAGACGGTGTTCTACGCCCTGGAGTCCTGGATCAAGTACGACGTGCAGGAGCGCCAGAAGTACCTGGCGCAGCTGCTGCACTGCGTGCGCCTGCCCCTGCTCAGCGTCAAGTTCCTGACGCGCCTCTACGAGGCCAACCACCTGATCCGGGACGACCACACCTGCAAGCACCTGCTCAACGAGGCCCTCAAGTACCACTTCATGCCCGAGCACAGACTGTCCCACCAGACCATGCTGCTGACGCGGCCCCGCTGCGCGCCCAAGGTGCTCTGTGCCGTGGGGGGCAAGGCCGGGCTCTTCGCCTGCCTGGAGAGGTGAGGAGCAGCCCTGGGGCAGTGCCTGGCACCCCTGGGCAGGGCTCTGGGAGCTGGGATCCTCCCAGTCTCTGCAGCTGGAGGAGATCTGGGAGTCCCACCAGAGTTTGGGGGGTGTGGTCGTTCCTTTCCTCCATAAAAACTGTTCAGTGGGGTTTTTTTTAGCAAGCATGAGCCCCAAGTTCTTCCATAGAAACTGTTCAGAAGGTTTTCATTTTTTAACAGGGATGAGCCCCAAGTTCTTCCATA